AAAAACATATGGTGTCGTTCAGGAGCGACTCTCCTCTCTCTGTGGTTTTGTTTCTGATGGGATGCCCGGTCAGGTCGAATAAATGCACCTTCACGGTTCATTCATGTGAAAACATTTTTTCCTTTTCGTCCGCAGACTTCACTTGAACTCGGTACGACAAACAAGAGCAGAAGAGAACAGAAAAGTACTTTATTAGAGCGTCTGTTGAAGCTGTCACCACACAAATTCATCCTCCGTGCTGTCTGTCAGGATTCAGCTCACACACACACACAAACAGAGACGGTCGGAGGGGGGGGGGGTCTGCGCATTAGAGCCGAGCAGCTGTCAGATGTGGGGTTTTGGGTGGAGAAAGGGGGGAGTTTTTTGGGTGAGGTGGGGGAGGCTGTCAGAAGCTGCAGACGAGGACAGATCGCAGTAGAGTTACAACCAACATTTATTTGGAGCCGACGAGAGTTTTGCCGCCTGTCAGGAGTCGGGTTTTGGTTCACGCTTTGACAACAGCCAACAGAAAACACACACGAGCTTTTTCTAAAGTCCAGAAAAAGAGTTTTACAGCACGCTGCTGCTGCTGAACCGCTGCTGCTCAACCACCGCTGCACACATCATGTTAAATGTTGACTGCGCTCTGCTGGATTTTAGGTAAATCTGTTTTATCCAATCCCAGCGCTTCATTTAAAGAGAACTTAAAATCAGGGATGTCCTTTTTTTTTTCTTTTGTTTTTTTTAGTAAATATTTATTTATTTATTTATTTTTAAGTTTCTATTAGTTTTTGGTAATTTGTGTATTTCTCTGTGCCCATGCTTGCAGCATTAGTGATGTGGAAGAAACATTTCTGAAAGATTACATAAGGAAGGAAGTTGACTGTGGAGCTTAATGGGTCTCTACTTTACTGCCATCCATTAAAAACAACAGCTGTCATGAACAGGCAACACAAAGTGAATCATATTGTTTTTTTTAATATAATGTCAGAGTGAAAGGAAGTTGTTTTTTAAAGCTATGATTGAGCTGAACCTCCATATTCCAGATCAAGATAAATAATCACACAAAAAGAAATGCAGTATATCAGAGGTTATGGTTTAATAGCTCATGACCGGGTCTTTATATCCATAACTGAATGCTGTTTGACCTAAACAGAGTCTGACAAAAGTTGCCGCCATGTGTATGAATTTTGAGATTCAGATTTCTTACTGCACTTCTACTTCCTCTCACTCCTTCAGCGGTTTGTTTTGTTTATATTCCACTTGGCTTCTTTATTCTAACACACAGATTTAACTTCAAACCTGAATGTCATCATAAGTTTAAGTTTTCCTGGAAAAAGGATGCACAGTGGATGTAGCAATAAAAGCTTTCTTGTACATTTATGGCCACATTAATAGTGTGCTATGATACAGGAGTCTATTTAATGTCAGTATGACTCAGTAGATGAAAATCAACTATGAAAATTATGTATAATTGGTGTTATTTTGGGCTGTAGTTTCCTCTGTCACAGAGATGTGGACTAGTCTTTGGTGAACAGTCAGATTTTTAACCCACACTGCCCCCTGTGGGCAACACACTGAAATAACTATCAGAGTCTGTGAATCAGGAGTCTGTTGAGACACTGAGTTTTTTCCTAAAATAATCGAAATAATCTTTTTTTTTGCACCAACACATTTTTTTCACACTCAATTATTATTTTATAACACAAATGATCATTTCTGAGTCATTTTATTCCCATTTTTTTAAAAAAAATTAATTTGTCTTTTTTTTAAAGAGTTGCATGAATGGTTTGATCATTTTTGTGCTTAACAACATTTGATCTTTATTATTTAAAGGTAAAGAAAAAATAGAGCATGAAGGAAAATTTTGGGGACACAATTACTATTAATTAACCTGAAATTAATTAATTAGTTCATTTCAAAATTAACAGGATATTTTAACAGACTTTTAAATTTTTCGATTAAGGGCTTTCTTCAGTTTAGGAAACTTGACGTTGTTTTAGAAGAAACAAGTCTTCATCCTGTGTGATGTTTAACACATTACAGCTAAAACAAAATTATATTATATATAGATTAATTTTTTTTGTGGTGGTGATTTCCTTTCTTCACTAGATGAGATCAGAAGGTTCGTATTTAGAAACCATTCTCGGTGAAAGACGCTCACTCTTCATCTTTTCCAGCCGTGGTACGAGAGCCTTTTAAGGAACTCACTCGTTCTGCTTGTGTTTGCACTACAGGGACCAGAGGGACTTGGGTCTAAATTAAGTTCTGTAGGATCGTTTTACTCTTTTAAAAATGCCCCTTCTGAGGTTGTGGTGCTTACTGATTGTTTTATTTTTCCCCAGTTTTATATCAGATCATTTTTGGTTTGTTTTTTTGAGTAACTACAGCTAAGGAATAAAGTAACCAGATTACATAAATAGTGGAGACAAAATCCTTCCTCTCTGTACTCTCATGTCTATACCTGTCTGCAGACATCTTCACCAAGTCCATCTACACAAACCCATGTACATTAAAAATGATATGCATTTAATTTAACACTTATTTTTCTTGTAAAACAGAGAAAAACAGGAAGGAAACCATTCCTTCCAACAACTTAAAATCCCAGACTTCATCTTTATTTCTACGAACGTGTTATTTATATAGAGAGATATATTTTATACTAATTTAGTTTGCATACAAAAATAATTAGGATGGGCCTTTTCAAGAGGATTTGGCTACCTATGCAACACAAAAACTTTCTAGATGGAGAGGCTACATGTTTTTCTTATTTTCTGAGACATATATACTGTTACAGTGGTGCATGCTCAAGTTTCAAATGAGGTCAGTATATGTGCAAAATCCCTGTGAGCCAAAAGCTCAGGCTTCACACCGCTCTAATCTGTCTTGGCTCTTAATGGTGTCAGTGAGCGCAGATATCCCATATACAGTCATCTCGGGCACAAAGAACCCTCACCAACCTGCTGTTCAGACCTTTGGTTTGTTTGGGGCAGTCGTTCAAAAGTTGGTTTAAACGAAGGGTGTCCTTAAAGGGGAGGGCCCAAAACTTGTTTCAGATAGTTAGCGGGTACACTGGAACACAATGCACCCCCCAAGATGAAGATTATTTTAAACTATGAGTCATGAAAAGCTAATCTAGAAGAAGCCAGAAATGTTTAAACCTTTTTGTCATCATGTTTACTACTGATCTTTTATGATGATGTCATTTTGGCCATTTGCCTGCTGGAGCAGTACAACAAAAACTGGAAAAAAAGACATCACAAGTATTCAAAGCATTTAAAAGAAAAACATTTAGGATGTTAGTGAATGTCTGGTGGATGGACGGATGTTTTCTGGAACAATCAAGCTGTTTTGTATTACATTAGAAATATTTTATACACTGATTACAATTTTAAAATTTCATGTTAATTAGTGAACTTTTTGCTCCTCCTTCCAGTCTTTATGCTAAGTTAGGCTAACATCATCATAATGAACACACAGATTTATGTTTTAGAGCCATCTGAATATTTCAGTCCATAAAATACTTCAGATTTTTCAATGAATGTGTCACATTAGATAAAATCCCGAGCGAGACGTATGAAAATACAGAAACATGATCAAAGTGTTGAATTAAATCTGCAACTATCTAACTAGA